TCAGGCCTAGACCCGGTGCTTTGTAACTCAATCCTGGATCAACTGTTCGAATTCTGCAAACTGTCTGGTTTACCTGATGTTAGCAGCTGGGGCAGGGAATGGAACTGGGACAAGGGAAAATAAATAGCTATTTCTCCGAGATACGGACTAGCATTGTGGAGGGAATCTTACTGAACTCTACATCTAAACTCATTCCAATTGTAAGAATCTTTTCCACAGAACGTTTTAACCAGAATGTTTTCAGTCTCTATTCTCCTTTTGATATCCTGCGCATTAAGAATAAATAACCGACTGAAAGACTATAGACTATCCGCCTATATTGGACCAATGAAAACAAGCTGTATGATCCGACTAATAACACTGAAGGGAAATTTGAACTAAATGATAATTCATTAATGAAGGTAAAAGTAATTAAAAAATAATTACCGTGGAGCATAAGATTATCATTAGGAATGCAACTGTAATTATTGCTATTTAATAATGCATGCATTTTGATAACTGTCTCATGTCTCCAGGCAAAGTTCATTACCACATTTTGCAGATTTTTAAAAATATAAAGTACATATTAGATATGGAACTGTTGCCACAGAACACGACTACTGTTGGGTTTATACGTTGAGTTTATACAAGGCTGTTAACAATGACAAGATCATAGAATGCCTACAGTGGGAAACAGTCCATTCGGCCCAACAAGTCCACACCGACTGTCCGAAGAGTATCCCACCCAGACTCACCCCCTACCCTAGGGGTGCATTTCCCATGGTTAAGCCACCTAACCTACACATCCCTGGACACTATGGGCAATTTTCTTTATTCACTTACGGGATGAGGGCGTCTCTGGCTAGGCAGCATTTATTGCCCATCCCTAATTGTCCAGACAGCAGTTAAGAGTCAACCACATCGCTATGGGTCTGAAGTCACATGTGGACCACACCAAGTAGGGATGGCAGATTTCCATCCCTAAGAGGCATCAGTGAACAAGGTGGGTTTTTTGTAACAATTGGCGTGGTTGCCATTAAATTATCTTTTTATTCTAAAGTTTAATCCAATTCAAGTTTTGCTATCTGTCATAGAGGGACTCAAACCTATACCCTTAGAACATTAGCCTGAGGAGGTGAGGTTAGAGCACTAGTCCAGTGACATTACCATAATTAAGTCTTGTGACTTAATTAACATTCTGGCAGTCTGGAATATTTTTGTTTCCAATTGTTCAATTTTTCAGTGTAATTCACAAACTCAGATCCATCAGAGTATAAATTCTCATACAATGAGACTCATTAGAGATAGATACACATATTGTCAGGAAGATGTGTTATTGGAAATATGAACTGATAATATCAATATAAATGATTGGTCATGTGTACTTATCTAAAGAGCCTTATTGGAAAAACACTTGGCAAAACAAAAAAAACACTAGCTGCAGTTGTAACAAAGCCTCAATTGCTAAGGTCAGTCTCCGGGGCAGAGATTCCAAGTCTTTCACTTTCAGAAACACTTTCTAAGATAGGTTACATGGGTGGCACAGTGGTTAGCACTGCTGCCTCACAGTGCCAGGGACCCGGATTCAATTCCAGCCTCGGGTAACTGTCTGTATGGAGTTTGCACATTCTCCCTGTGTCTGTGCGGGTTTCCTCCGGGTGCTCCAGTTTCCTCCCACAGTCCAAAGATGTGCAGGTTAGGTGGATTGGCCATGCTAAATTGCCTGTAATGTTCAGGAATGTGTAGATTAGGTGGGTTATAGGGGGATGGGTCTGGGTGGGATGCTCTGAGGTTCAGTGTGGAATTGGAGGGTTGAAGGTCCTGTTTCCACACTGTAGGGATTCTATGATAATGGTTACAACTAGCTTGCAGTTGAAGTTATTGGAATTAAATCTAGGGCGTCTCAGTCCCTGGACATCTCTGCCGGAGTTCCCCAGGGTAGTGTCCTAGGCTCAACCATTTTCAGCAGCTTCATCAATGACTTTTCCTCCATCATAAGGTCAGAAGTGGGAACGTTTGCTGATGACTGCACAATCCTCAGCACCATTTGCAAACTCCTCAGGCATTGAAACAGCTCACGTCCACATGCAGCAAGCACTGGACAACATACAGGCTTGTTCTGATAAGTGGGAAGGAGCAATCATGCCGCACAGTGTCAGGCATATGACCATTTCAAAAAAGAGAGAATTGGACCACATCACCTCGCCATTCAATGATATTACTATTGCTGAATCTCCCGAATACCAAAATCCCAAGGGGTGGGGAGGGGTTTACCATTGATCAAAAACCGAATAAGGTCAACTACTTAAATACTGTAGCTACCAGAACAAATTAGAGGCTGGGAACTGTGTGTCAAGTAACTCACCTCCTGTCTCCCTACCTACCACCTATAAGGCACAGTCAACGATTGGATGGAATACTCCCACTTGCTCGAACAGGGGCAACGCCAACAACATTCACAACCTTCACATCATTCAGGCAAAAGCAGCCCACTTGATCAGCATCCCATCCGCCAATGTCAGCTTTCATTCCCTTCACCACTGATGCTCCGTAGCAGCAGTGTGTAACATCTACATGATGCACTGAACAATTCCACCAAGGCTCCTGGGGCAACACCTTCCAAACCTGTGGCCTCTACTACCAAGGAGGGGACATTGGCAGCAGATACGTGGGAATGCCACCAACAAGCCACTTGCCATCCTCATGTGGACATATAATGCTATTCCTTCACTGCTGCTGGGTCAAATCTTAGAACGTCCTTCCTAATAATTGTCTACATTCGAAGGTCTATAACAGTTGAACATGCAGTTCACCACCACTTCCCTTAGGGCTGTTGGATATGGGACACCCACATTCCATGAACAAATAAAGAAAAAAAAATGGTGTGTTTGTATTGTTAAGAAGAATGCGAGGTGATCTTATTGAAACATATAAGATCCTGAGGAGGCTTGATCAGTTAGATGCTGAAAGAATATTTCCCTTTTGTGGGTGACAGTGAACTAGGAAGCACAGTTTAAGACTAAGGTGCATCAGATTTAAGGAGGAGATGAGAAGTCTTTTTTCTCTCAGAGGGTCATTTGTCTGTGGACCTGCCTTCTCTAGAACTTGGTGGAGTGAGTCATTGAATATTTTTAAGGCTGAGTTAGATTCCTGATTGACAAAGGGAGTCAAGGAGACAGGAAGAGGTAGACAGGAAAATAGACTTGAGGCCATAGCTAGATCAGCCATGATCTTATCAAATGATACAGCAGACTTGAGGGACTAAATGGCCTACTTCTGATCTGGATTTACATGTATGTTATATGTATTGAAGATAGTATAGGCCATCATTGTATGAGATACTCAGATATTACATTCAGTAAGATGGCAAAACGATCTGTCACCGGACAGTAATCTAGACAGATGGAGCTATATGGCTCACCAGCTCAAATTTGGAATTGGGACTGTTTACACTAACCACATCCTCCTGAAAATGAATCAACATGGCTCCACTTCCCTTATGGATCAGCTACGGAGATCTTGTTTTCTGACCCCATTGCCTTCAGGTCTGAAGTTGGATCTTGCTGTAAGTCAATCTTTGAATGTTTTCTGGCCTCTTCCATACTGTTTCCAGCTTCCAATAGATCTTGTTGTAAAGGTCAGGCTGGAGGCTTTTCACCCCACAGCACTAGCTACTGGGAATTGTGAATGTTAACAGAGCTAGTTTATTGTAAAGTCTGTACAACATCACAGTACATCTGACTATCCAAGACCATGGTCAGGTCTCCTTTTCCATTGATTACTGGCATCATCACAGTGGCTGGTGTTACTCACAATCTTTCTGATATTAATTCTTTCATACCACAGTTACCTCCATTAAAAGTGCTACACAAATACAAGTTATAACTGATGATCAAAACCTGTCCTTAGCTTGCCTGACTGAGTGACTTCCTTACACCTTCCTCTTTCCAGCTTTTTGATGGCAAACTCATTTATCAATCTGCCTGAGCCCCGTTTCAGTTCTGAGCACCAGAAGGCTGAATAATTCAATTCGCAATAGCAGCTCCCAGCACCAACAGCAACGACAGCAAAGCCTTTATATTGTCTGCATCTCCTCCTGCCTCAGAACTCCATACCTTTCTCATTCCCACCATTGACCCATCCCCACTCCTAGCACTTGAGATTCTATGGATCAAACCATTTCACACTTCTAGGACCGCTCAACTCGAGCACTGTTTCCGATCAAGTAAAAGCTGTGGCTTCTTTTGGCACAAGTAGTTCACAGCTTTAACATCCTGCGGTTTGAGTCTTTTATTACTCATGGAACCAGAACAGATTCTGAACTCACTGTATGTCAGTTACTTTTTGCATCAGAGACAATTCAGGTTTAATCAAAGGTCAATCTGCTCAGGTTCTGGGAGAATAATGTAGCCATACGGCACTGAATGAGACTATTCAGCCCAATGTGCCCATGCTGCGTCTTTGAAAGATCTATTCAGTTTGATCCACCTCTTGCCATAGCTCTGTAGATTTTCTTTTTCAAACAATCATTAAGCAGAATATTGCCATTATTGCTTTAGCCAATGAATTGGAGATGGGTGGGTATTAAAACAGGACTTACAGGAAAGAAGATCTACATTACAGAAATATATTTGCTCAGCGATTCAAACAGTACCTCTGACAGCTATAGCAAACAGAGCTCACGACTGATACCACAGAAAAATCTCCCAATAGCATCAGGGGTTATTTCTCTGGCAAAGCACAGTGAGTAGGGCACAGTTATATCAAATAAAACATTGAATCAATCCCAGTCACAATGTAAGGTGGTGGTTGCTGTAATTGATGGATGAATGGCCAAATCATCTTCATTCTGATTAAGGCTTGTGGTGTCACCATATTTATATCATTTTATGTTAAGTAGTTGATCAGTATATGCAAGTTGTTCCCCAGTACAACCCCATAGACAGGGAAAGAGAGAGAAATTAATTCTGGCTCTGACTATGTCGGTCTAGCACGTGCTTAACAGTCATTATTGTGCTTACAGCGTCTCGCGGATTCTCGCGTGAGCTCCAGGTGGTAGACAGACAGGCGATTGGGCCCTCCGCACATGTTGCTCTTCTCACCTTTGCACTCCATGTTGCATTCGGAGTCACTCGTGTTCTGGGCCTGTATCTTATGTCCACAATAACACTCTGCTCCAAACTCCAGGCCTGCGTATTGATAGCCCCTGGGGAGGTAAGTCAGAGAGGTAGTTACGTCTGGAACAGATCCTGGAGCAGGATTTGAACCCACAACCACATGACTGAGAACAACTGAGCCACAGCCACTGCACGTGGTTATGATATGCTTCAACTATCAAAAGGAAAAAGAATAGTCAGTGGTTTTTACCTTTTATGATGACTCTTGGCAGGAAAGTCAATTTTTCCACAACCACCACATAAATGTTACTCTTGAACTTACTCGCATTGTGACACAAAATTAATTGAACTTCAGTTTCTAATTAGCAAAGCCTAAATATTTAAGGTTTCATAAATAGACAGAAGTTGTACAGAACCTTTAAAAGCCTTAAATTGACTTTTGCCATGCTTTGGGAAGGATGTGAGAGTCTGAATTGAGTAGATGCAGGATAGTTTGAGAGATGAGGGATTTTAGATCTGAGGTTAGATTGGAGAAGCTGGGGTTGAGTTCCTCGTTGAAAAGAAGATTGAAGATTTTGAGCAAAATCGTATAAATGTTTCAGAAGAATAATTTCACTTAAATTATGACACAGAGTTTTAATGAAGTCAGTGCTCTTACTGACTAGTGACAGAAATCATCTCCAAATGGGAGGCTTCTTACTCTAAAAACATGACAATCCCTTTGCATCAATGTGACATTCTTGACTATATCACTACTCCTCGTCAGAGACTAATTGAATGAAAACTGAAAGAACTGCGGATGCTGTAAATCAGAAACAAAAACAGAAATTGCCGGAAAAGTTCTGAGGACAGGTCACTTGAACTGCAACATTAATCCTGATTTCTCTCCTGCTGAGCTTTTCCAGCAATTTGTATTTTTGTTACTCTCTGAGCAAAGCTGGCAGTCAATGCCAAGCAGACCACTGGCACCTGATACCACTGCTACAGTCACCTCACCACCACCAGTTTAACATAAGGGTATCCCATGGGATTACACTTTTGACATTTCTTTGGTATCCAAGAGAAATCTTGGAAATGTCCATTTTTGAGACATCAAAGATTTGGAATTAAGTTTGGCATTCTTTGTTCCTAGCAACTTCTGCATGGTGACAGTGAGCTGTCAATCAAATGGTGTATCATTTGTATACAGCAGTTATCACAGTTTGATAGGAAGTTAGAGGGCTGCTACACCAATTCATTACTGGCTTCACATTATTATATCAAAGAATCATATAGCTCCACATTGCATCTTCTGACACACAAATGGGCAGATGCACATGTGAATTTCTCAAAAAAAAATACGCATTGGCAGTAGACATGTACATTTGCAACATGATTTGAGAGGATGCTCTCATTTCAGGAAGACAATCACGGAATAACTGTAGAAACAAAGGAATGGAGTTTGGCTATGTGAATAACTGCACTTTTCACAAGTCCAACATCTGAGGTTAAATGTAAACCCAATGCATGGACATGCCTGCTAAAACGAACTGCCTCTGAGTCAGTTAGAGAACAGAAGGAGGCCATTTGGCCCATCCAGTCCATGTCAGAACATCAATCTTTTATCTTGGGGCATTGGATCAGACATAGCCTTCAAGGACAGCGTTTCCTTTCCTTGACTGATAATTGAAATATTAGAGAAGGTTTATTCATTAATGGATAGGTATGAGCATATTGAAGTACACAGCAGTAACACAATAAAAACAGCCCATTTTCCTCCCAAGGTATCTGTGGTGAGAAATGGTTCAAATCTTGTCTCCATATTGTTTCAATACTTATTGAATGGCCCATAATGAGGACAATTGTCTGCTCCTTTCCATTGACTCATAGAACATAGAACAGTACAGTACAGTACAGGCCCTTCGGCAATGCATTCCACACCCCTACCACTCTCTGAGTAAAGAACCTACCTCTGACGTCTCCCCGATATCTACTTCCTTTCACTTTAAAACTATGTCCCCTCGTAAAAGCTACCTCCACCCTAGGAAAAAGTCTCTGGCTGTCTACTCTATCTATACCTCTGATCATTTTGTACACCTCTATCAAGTCACCTCTCATCCTTCGTCGTTCTAAAGAGAAAAGCCCTAGCACTCTCAACCTTGCCTCGTAAGACCTTCCCTCCATTCCAGGCAACATCCTGGTAAATCTCCTCCGCACCTTTTCCAACGCTTCCACATCTTTCCTGCAATGAGGTGACCAGACTGGACACAATACTCCAGATGTGGCCGAACCAGGCTTTTGTATAGCTGGAGCATAACTTCACGGCTCTTGAACTCAATCCCTCTCTTAATGAAAGCTAACACACCATACGCCTTCTTAACAACTCTATCCACCTGGGTGGCAGCTCTCAGGGAACTGTGAACATGAACCCCAAGATCCCTCTGCTCCTCCACACTGCCAAGAATCTTTCAGTTAACACTGTATTCTGCTTTCAAGTTTGTCCTGCCAAAATGAATCACATCACACTTTTCAGGGTTAATTTCCATCTGCCACTTCTCAGCCCAGCTCTGCATTCTATCAATGTCCCTTTGTAACCTAGAACAGCCCTCCGCACTGTCCACAACGTGACCGACCTTCATATCGTCATCTTAGTTCCACACTCCTTAGACACTTGCCACTGTAGAGACCTCAGTTTTGAAATTTTCAAATGACCTGTGGCAAGGAGAGAATTCCAGATTGGCACTACACTTAGCTTGAAGGAGTGCTCCATGACCTCACCCCTGAAAGATCTCCCTCTATTTTTCAGTATAACCCATTGTTTTAGGATCACACAATGGGGGAAACAGGTTCTATCTATCCACCTGATTAAGGCCTGTCAACCATGGGGAACTGTACTCTAGCAATCAGGGTGGATAAAGAGAAGGAACAGAACTGCAACATATCTTTGTGTTCAATTACCAGTTAAAACTGGAGAGATCATTAAATAAAGTGAAATTCATAGGTTGAACTCTGCAACCCTACCTTTCAGCACAATTGTCCTGGCAACGAAATACTGTCATCTTTCTGTAGTCAAAGAACGCTGTGCCCCTCAAGGCTCTCTGCTTGGTGTTGTCAAAATAACAGCCGATATATTTGCCTGGGAACAGAAAAAAAAAGGCACACAAATGAAACAATAGATAAAAATTCGCAGTGTAGAAATTCATCAGATAGAGCCTGGAGCTTGAAGTTACTCCAGCTGCTTCAGCATAAAACCACCTCATGTTTTCCAACAGATTAGGTAAAATCGACTGACTGCAATTCAGACAGGGGCCGCAGTACGTGTGGACATTTTAATTACCTTACTGTAGAGGTGATGAATGCGAAAACTGCGGGGATTTTCCGGTGCTGAAACACTGGGAGGGTAAAAGGTCAGGACTTGTGTTATCATTCAGAAGGACTCAAACTGTGCATACCAAAGGGATTGTTAAAAAAAGAACAGCCTAGTCTAGCAAGCAATGCCCACGACCCATGAATGAATAATGCAACAATAACTTTTAATAAAGCAGGATATTTCCAGATTGAATCCTTGTTGGAATTTATTAGAGTCTGTCAATATCCAGGACACTGCACTGAGTGAAACAGATATATATTCTTCACTTTATCTGAATATTTTCATTGATTAATTTGTGAAAATATTGCAGGTAGGTAAAAGAATTGAGAATTACCCAATCAGGTAGCCAAAACTTAGTGTGCTTTCTGGTTGGTCTGGCATCCAGTAAGAATTGGCATGCCAAGTATCTAATGGCAGAAGAATAGGGGGGATGGGTCAGATAGTTTGAAAGCCAACAGTGAAATTTCCACAAATACATCTAGCCAGAGTTCACAACCTTAAATTCCCAGTTGTGGGGACTGAGTCAGTCACTTTCAACATTTTCTCGTGAAAGAACTCTATAACAAATATTATAATTCTGTGGAATGCCAACCGTTAAAGCAAAGTAAAAAACATTGGATGAATGAATGAATGAAAATGCAACAAAAAAAATCATTAAATCCAAAACAATGTCTTTTGTAAAATTTGCTACAATTTCAATGACTTGAAAATTACATGAAGCCCTTTAGAATGCTAAGGGAACCCTTGAGTTCTGGCGAATCTTGGTTGAAATACACCAAGTTAGCTAATCTCTGTTAGGATGGAGTGAAGGGAACTTTTAACATAGCCTATGAGAGCGGGAAGGAAAACCTCTGCAGCAAAGCATGAAGCAAGGTTAGCTGGTAATGTCATAATGGAAGGTTCATTTGGAAATTGTAACCTTAACACGACAGAATTTCAGATTCACTTTGGAAGTGACGTACTCTAAATGCAAACATGAATCCCCATTATTAACATCCTTGGGATTACCGTTGACCAGAAACTCAACTAGACTCACCATATAAACCCATCGGTTTGAAGGATAGGTCAGAGGCTAAGAATACTGTGACGAGTAACTCACCTCCTGACTCCCCCCCCCCAATAGCCTGTGCAGCATCTACAAGGCACAGATCAGGAGTGTGATGGAATACTCCCCACTTGCCTGAATGGGTTTGGCTCCAACAGCATTCAAGAAGCTTGCCACATCCATGACAAAGTAGCTCATTTGATTGGCACCACATCCACAAATATCCACTCTCTCCACTACTGGAGCTCAAGAGCAGCAGGGTGTACTATCTACAAGATGCACTGTAGAAATTCACCAAAGATCCTCAGACAGCACTTTCTAAACCCACAACCACCTCTAACACCTGAAGAAGGAGCGAGGCTCCAAAAGCTTGTGTTTTCAAATAAACCTGTTGGACTATATTCTGATGTCATGTGCTTTCTGACCTTGCCAATCTAGAAAGACAAGGGGAGTCAATACATAGGAACACCACCCCCTGCAGGTTCCCCTTCAAGCCAATCACTATCCTGACTTGGAAATATATCGCTGTTCCTTCACTGTTGCTGGGTCAAAATCCTAGAATTCCCTCCATCTCAGCATTGTGGGTCAACCGCCAGCAGGTGGACATTTTTTTCTTTATTCATTCACATGGATGAAGGCATCGCTGGCCAAACAGTATTTATTGCTCACCCCAAATTGCCCAGAGGGCAGTTAAGAGTCAAGCACATTTCTGTGGGTCTGGAGGCACATGTAGGCCAGACCAGGTAAGGATGGCAGTTTCCTTCCCTAATGGACATTAGTGAACCAGATGGAATTTTTCCAACAACCAGCAAAGGATTTATTGTATTCATTACACTCTTAATTCCAGATATTTATTGAATTCAAATTCCACCATCTGCCGTGACAGGATTCAAACCGAGTCCCCAGAACATTATCTGGGTCTCTGGATTAACAGTCCAGCGATAATACCACTAGGCCATCACCTCCCCCTCAGTTGTTCAAGAAAGCAGTTCACCACCATCTTCTCAAGGGCAACGAGGGATGGGCAATAAAATGCTGGCCCAGCCAGCGACACCCACATCCCACAAATGAATAAAAAACACTCTCAAATGAAGCCAATTACATAGATATGCGGGGAGAACTGCCTTAAGTCAATTGGGCAAATAGACTGAAATGTAAATGAACAGTGGAAAATAATTAAAGAGAAAAAAATCAAAATGGTAAACAAAAATACATTCCACCAAAGAACAAAAACTCAACAAGAAAATTCAGCAAGGAGGTTAAGGATAGAAATGGATTGAAAGAAAAGCCTTAAAACGTTACAAAAAGTGTGGTAGCAAGTCTGAGGATTGTGAATGTTTTAGAAAACAGAAAGGCCAAAAAATGATTAAAAATGGAAAAACAGAATGTGAGAGCAAACTAATCAAGGATATAAAACAAACTATAACAACCTTTATACGAATATGAAAAAAAGGAAAGTAGCTAAAGTAAACATTGATTCCTTAGCAGCCGAGACAGGAGAAATTATCATGGAGAATGAGTAAATGGCAGAGGCTTGGCCAAATATTTCATGTTTGCTTCATTAGTCAAAGAAACAAATCTCACACTTGCAGCTCAAAAGCGTGAGGAACTTAAATAAATTAATATCCGCAGAGTAAAGTTAATGAAGAAACATAAGAATTAACATTCAAAAAGTCCCCATCTGATGGTCTACACTCTTGGGTTCTAAAAGAGATGTTTGCAGAGTTAATGGTTGTGCTGCCTATGATTTTACAAAATTCCTTAGATTCAGGAATGGTCATAGAAGAATGCAAGTTGGCAAAAGTTACATCATTTTTCAAGAAAGGAGGGAAAGAGAAAACAGTGAACTAAGGCCAATTAGCTTAACATGTCCTTGGGAAAATGCTGAAGTTTACAAAGGAAGTCTTAACAATGTATTTAAAGAAAGCATTTTGTGATTAGAGCAAGCCAATGTGATTTTGCCAAATGGAATTCCTGTGTGATAAATTCATCACTGTTTTTAATGGATATAATTTGTAGTATAGGTAAGAGGAGAACCGATAGATGTAGAATATCTAGATTTCCAAAAGGCATTTGATAAGGAGCCACAGAAAAAAGTTAATAGGCAAGATAAAAGCTCATAGAGTTGGGTGTAATATATTCACATGACAAAAAGATTGGTTCATGGTCAGAAAGAGAGTAGAATTGAGGCTTCTTCATATTGGCAGTCAGTGAATAAAGCAGTGGTGCAAGGATCAACGCTAGGGACACAGCTAATAACAATCTATATTCACAACTTAGATGAAGAGACAGGGAGTAATGTATCAAAGTTTGACAATGATACCAAGCTAGGCAGAAAATTAAGTTGTGCAGAGAGGCTGCAAACAGATATAGAAAGGCTCCATAAGTGGGGAACAAGATGGCAGATGGAGCATAATGTAGGAAACTGTAAAGTTATTAACTTTGGTCTTCAGAATAGAAAGGCAGCATAGTTAACCAAAGGTGTGAAGCTTGTAAATGTTGATATTCTCAGTGACTTGGGTGTTCTTGTACAAGGAAAGTTAATATGCAGGTACAGCAAGCAATTGCAAGGGGTTTGGAGCACAGGAACAAAGAATCATAGAATTCCTACCATGTGGTAGCAGGCCATTCAGCCCACCAAGTCCACACCAACCCTCCAAAGAGCATTCCACGCAGACTCATCCCCTACCCTATCCCTATCACCCTGCATTTCCCATGGCTAATCCACCTCACCTGCACATTGGCTGTGCTAAATTGCCCAATTCAACTAATCTGCACATCTTTCGACTGGAGGAGGAAACCAGAGCACTTGGAGGAAACCCACATAGATACGGGGAGAACGTTCAAACTCCACACAGACAGTCCCCTGAGGCTGGAATCAAATTCAGGTCCCTGGCTCTGTGAGGCATCAGTGCTAACCACTAATTTGCTCAGTCTGGTGACAACTCTACATTTTTTCAGTGAAACTACATAGGGAATGCTGTGTGCAGGTTTGCTCTTCAAATTTAAGCAATGATACATTTGCATTGGAGGCAGTACAATGAAGCTTCACCAAACTGGTTCTTGAGATGAAGGTGTTGTTTCCTGATCAGAGACTGAGTAAACTGGTCCAGTTTTCTCTGGGGTTTAGAAGAATGAGTGACGATCTAATTGAAACAGAATTCCGGAGGGGCTTCACTGGGTAGACATTGAGAGATTGCTTCTGCTGGTTGTGGAATCTAAAATTCTAAAAATGGCACAAGCTTAGCACAAGGGCCGATAATTTAGGACAAAGATGAGAAGAAACTACCTCACTCAAATCTGTGCTGAGCGTATCTGGAATTCTCTACCCTTGAGCATTGACAACTGTGCCATTGTTGGATACATTAGAGGCTAAGATAGACTAAAATTTTAATCTCTCAGGGAATTAAGGGAAATGGTGACAGGGTCAGTGTTAGGGTGACCTAACCTTACCACAGGGAGGAAAGTGAAGTTCATGCCCAAAATCAGGCCTGTTCATCTTGAAATAAAACAGAAAAAGCAGATGGTAAAAATCTGAAACAAAAACAGAAATTGCTAGAGAAACTCAGTAGGTCTGTAGCGAGAAATAGAGTTAACATTTCAAAGCTTTTGTTTCTGCCAAAGGGTCACTGGACTCGAAACGTTAACTCTGTTTTTCCTCCACAGCCCATTGCTAGACCTAATGGTTATATTGCATGTTGGAGCAGGCACGGTGGACTAT